TCCTATACACTAACAATGAAATTTCAGAAAAAGAAATTAAAAATGAACAATTTTTGCAACCAAAATAATAAACTAGCAAGGAATAAATGTAACAAAGGATGTAAACAATCTATATACTGAAAACTACAAAGCATTATTAAAATACATTGAAAAAGACACAATGAAATGGAAAGATATTTTATATTCATGGATTAGAAGAATCAACATACTTAAAATGGTCATATTACCCTAAGCCCCATACAGATTTAATGCAATCCCAGTCAAAACACCAACGTTATTTTTTAAACAAATAGAACCAAAAAGTTATGGCATTTTTATGGAAGCACAAAAGACCCCAAATAGCCAAAGTAATTCTGAGAAAAAAAGAACAAGCCAGAGGTATCACAGTACCTGACTTCAAATTATACTACAGACCAATGAAAATGGCATGATATTGGCAGAAAAAACAGACACACAGACTAATGAAACAGAATTGAGAGCTCAGAAATAAAATCACACATATATGGGAAATAATTTTTGAGGAGCCAAAACACTCAATGGAGAGAAAAAAAGTTTTTTCTATAAATAATGCTGGGAAAATTGAAAGCCGCATGCAAAAGAATGAAACTAGATTACATTTAGTCCCCATGAACAAAAATTAATTCAAAATGGATCAAAGATCTAAACATAAGATCTGAAACAGTAAATTACTGGGTTGGCCAAAAAGTCTGTTACATTTTTTCTGTGCGATGCCTCTAGTGGTGCTTAGCTGTCTTCAACTTCATTTGAAACAATTTTGTTACATTATATTGTGACACATGTCATATTGTATCCATTTTAAAAAGCTTATCTAAATTGGTGAATTTTGTGCAGTCCTTTTAATATTGAAATGGAAGAAGATATGGGACATTTTTGCTGTATTATGCTTTATTATTTCATGAAAGGTGAAAACACAACTGAACTGCAACAAAAGACTTGTGCAGTTTATGGAGAAAGTACTGTGACTGATCAAATGTGTCAGAAGTGGCTTGCGAAATATCTTGGTACCATTGACATTTTGGCCAAATAATTCTTTGCTGTGGGGCTGTCTTATACATTGGAAGATATTTATCAGCATCTCTGGCCTCTACCCACTAGAAGCCAATAGCAAGGGCCAACATACTCAAAATATCAAATCGATAAAGTTATGGGTGAACATGAAAAATATGTCTTTTATTTTATGGGGAAAAAAAACACACAGACTTTTTAGCCAACTCAACACATAAAAGAAGACACACATACTAAGATTTTATGAATTTTACTCCAAAGGCACAGGAATAAAAGGCAAAATTAAATGAGTGAGACAGGATCAAACTAAAAAAGCTTCTACATAGCACAAGCAATAGCCAACAAAACAAAGATACAACCAACTGATGAGAGATATTTGCAAAAAATAGCTCTGACTAGCGGTTAATATCCAAAATATATAAAGAACTCATACAACTCAACACCCAACAGTCAGGTTAAAATATGAGCAGAGGATACTTCTGCAGATACTTCTCCAAAGAAGACACACAAACGGCCAACAGATACATAAAAATATGCTCAACTTCACTACTTATTAAAAAAATAAAAATAAAAATAAAAACTACAATGTGATACTACTTCACACCTTTTAGAAAGGCTGTTATCAACAAAAATAATAACAAGTGTTGGAGAGGTTGTGGAGAAAAAGGAACCCTCATTCACTGCTGGGGGGATGTAGACTGGTATATTCACTATGAAAAACAGTATGGAGGTTCCTCAAAAATTAAGAATAGAGTTACCATATGGCCCAGCAATCCCTCTTCTAGGTATCTACCAAGAAAACTTGAACACTTGTTTGCAAAGGTATAGACACCACTATGTTCACTGAAGGGTTATTCGCAGTTGCCAAGACATGGAAACAACCAAAGTGTCTTTTGACAGATGACTGGATAGAGAAGATGTGGTACATATATACTATGGAATATTACTCAGCTATAAGAAAAAATGAAATACTGCCACTTGCAACAACATAGATGGGCCTTGAGAATATTATGCTGAGAAAAATAAGTCAGTCAGAAAAAGCTACGAATCATAAGATGTCGCTCATGTGTGGGATGTAAAACTGAAACAGACAGAGACAACACTATGGTTGTTCTCAGAGGGGTGGGAATAAAGGAATACTAAAGGGTGAAGGGAGCCAAACACATGTGATGGAAGACGGTTTGACTTTGGGTGGTGGGCACACAACACAATACACAGATCGTGCATCACAGAAATCTACACCTGAAACCTATGTAATCTTATTAACCATTGTCACCCCAGTATATTTAATAAAATATTCAGTCCCCTACACCTTCATGTGAAAGACATCAGCAGTTGTCCTATGTAACCATGAGATACAGCATTTATAAACCCATCATCTGCACTTTATAAAACTACATTAGAAAATATACATTTAAGATGGTCAATTACCTAAAACATCTGCAGAATTCTCTAACAGAAAAAAAATAGCTGAGGGGTTCTAGCCTTTCTTAGCACTTTTAACATATGACTTGCTTCAATTTTCAACATATTTTTGTTATTTTCATCCCCCAAAATACAATTTTTGTTGAAAACTGAATTTCTACAAAAGCAAACATACTGATAATTCAACTTTTGAATAAAGGTTACTTTATTGTGAAAGAGGGAAATACTGATACAGTCTCTTGTGTTCCCAAGTTTCTACATCTGACAAGATGATGGTTTTCTTTCTTCTGAGAGACAACCACTAAATCTAAAGACCTTTAAAAATATATGAGAAATAGAAGTTAGGATTTTCTAAAACTAATAAAAGCCTAATAGAAGATAAGGAAATTTTTACTTTTTTTTAAAAAGCCTTTAATAAAAACTAATTCATGAAAAATTAAAATGGGTCCTGTTTCTCCGTCAGTTTCAAAGTACTACAGATACTTCTCTATTTTGTAACTTTATTCATTCCTCAACACTTATTGTCATATCTGTCAGATCTCTGCAAGTTGTTGGGGATTAAAAAAAAACTAATAAGACAAAGCTCACGGCCTTGGGAACTTCAAACTCTAGTATGTATTGATTAAACTAAACACTTTAATGCTCAAGGCATGGCATGTTCTTACAGGCTGGCTTTTCCTCGTTTGGTGTCTGCCATACAGCAAGCATTCAATAAACATCTGTTCACTGGATTTCACCCTGGCCTCCCTGTTTCCTGGTCACTGAAAAGGATTTCACTTGAAAATAAACTCTACAGATAAATCTTAATGTGAACCCACATTTTTCAGTTGGCTAATGGGACCCGAAAATGGGACTTGCACAGGGTCAATAGCAGAAGGAGGACAAGAATCTAGACCTCTCAACTTCCAGCTAATCTCCATCATGTCAGTCTTTGAAGATTTAAAACTCCCTCTATTCTTTTGTTCTCTGTGTAATTAGCTCATTCATTTAGCCTGTTCTTTTAACTTAGTGTCAACACATTTTTCTTCCATCTCTTCACTCATGCGTGCAGCATCCTCTAAACCCGCACATGAATTCATGCTGTCTCTCCAGGTGTGAAACCCACCTTACCTGTAATTCTAATGTGAATCTTCATGTAGAGTCTGAAATGAGCCGGAGCCCTGAGGCAAGAAAATGGAGCTCTGTCCATCAATCTGAAACCTCATCCCATCCACCCTCTTCCTAGGTGCCCCAGGATGTCCTTCTGCGTGATGTGTGAGCGGGTCCCAGGAGAAGGAGGAGCAGTGACTGCACTGGGCTGCCCAGCCAGTCCTCCAGGCCTGGAGCATCACTCCTCTGCCATGTGCTCGCCTCACCAAGAACTCACGTGGAATAAAACCCAAAAGAGCCTGTCTTCACAAAAAACTAATGGGAAAATTCACAATCCTGATGGCATATGTATGTCCTTAGCTCATCACACATTTCGCCTGAAATCCACTAATACAATTCTTTAAAAACTATTTTAGACCAGCTTTCACCTGGTAATGCAAGATATATAACTAATTTTGGTACATATTGTTTACTGGTAAAGTTGTGTGTGTGTGTGTGTGTGTGTAGAATTCTCTTGGGTATCAGCAAAACTAGTTAAAACATTTTTTTGGAAAATTATCTGTGACTAAAAGGTAATTTATAATCAATATACATAAGGGCTGTAGACACACAAATAAGAGACCAATTGATGCAGACCCTGGCTGGTGGAGTCCGCCACATTGTGGATGAAGCATGAGAAATTCACAAGGACTGCCGAGCATGGACAAAAAGGGACACCATGGCCCTTGCTGTGACCAGCCTCTATTTCTTTTCTGGGCACATTACCTGATGGTCCTCATTTACTATGCACAGGTTCCCTTTAGGTGATTACCTTTTATAGAAAACAAAGGAGCAGATGCTGCTAAGCACATCACTGAAGAAGGATATTTGCAAATGCAAAGGGCAAAGTGGTTGAACCAGTTACACTCCATACTAGGGAGTTTTAGCGTGGATTTTAGGAAGTTACAGTAACCACTTCCTGTCCCAATTTGGGGTGAGGGAGTTTTAGCAAAAGCAAGTCTCATAGCAGTCTAGGTACAGTGCAGACCTGATTTCTCACGGGAGAACCTACCCGTGGGCGTGGGTCCTGTGCATCTCCAGGTGGGAGCAGGGCCCACGCCATGCAGAATGCTCTCCTACAACCAATGTCAGTAGCAGCTGGTAAAAATGTTAATTATGTAATTTCAGTAGGAGCACACAATGGTAAAATTTACCTTGTTTTATGAGACCACCACTAAAAACATTTTACCTCAAAATATGTGTCTTTGTAGCACAACCTCTAATTATAAATAGAAATTAATCATGAAAAACAGCACCTCTCATACACACATAGTCTTATGTGCAAACTGTCATGTATGATAATTAGGAGTGTCTTTTGTGTGCCCAGGGGGAAAAATGGACCTACTAAGCATTAAAATTGTATCCCAGCCTTAAGAGACTAATAAGTAATAACAACAATATAATCATAAAAACAAACTTACCACTATTTGGAATTGTTTGTGCTGAATTCTTTAACTTCAGATTTTGTTTCCCTTTTGTGGGTCTTTCTAGATTCACATCCTCTTTTTTCCCTTTCCTCTTTGGGGGCTGAGGAGATGAGTTGTCACTGGATCCTACAGTTGACTTAGACTGGCGATCATTTCCCTGAGTGGCAGAAGAGTAGACCCTTATTATCGGCTAATTGAACTCCCAAAGTGATTTCTAATCAAACACAAGTCATTACCTAGGCATTCGACAAAGAGGGCAGGGGCCAAAGGTGGGTGTATTGTGCTGATTCTGCTTCTGTTCATTTTAATACCTATGATTAACTCTTCCTAGTGGCAGAGGAAGGGGAGGAGGAAAAGGAGGAAGAGGAAGGAGGAAGAGGGAGGAGGAGGGAGGAGGAGGAAGAAGGAGGAGGAGGAGGAGGAGGAAGGAGGAGGGAGGAGAAGGAAAGAGGAGGAGGGGAAGAAAAATTGTTGAGTAGTTAATATTACCAGGTATTCTATAAAATTATGTCACTAAACCTTCATATTCCTGTGAGACAGGTATATTATCATCCCATTGTGAGGAAAAAAGAAGGCTTAGAAATTAAGCCTTGTCCAAAGTCACACAACCTGCATAAGCAGAGTAGGTCCTCTGCCTTATTCTCTCCCTCCCTCCTGTGCTTTCTGAAAAATCAGCACCTATATTGCATGAGGAATAGTGCAGCTTTCAGTTCAATTAGTTAATCTAGAAATACCTTCCTAACTAGTTACCACTGTGAATGAATAGGTAGCATCATTTGAATGGACATGCACTGTGCTTGTAAATCTCCAATAATTACTCATCTGTGGGTGATTGCAATGGTCTCTGTGAATTACATCCAGAGCCACAAAGATCCTAGCAGATCAAGACCACAAGTCCACATTCCTGCAAGGCAGCCATCGATGATCACACCTTTGGTGGCTGCCTCTTGTCCCCACATGCCACTCAAAATAAAGACTTTGCATCTGCAAAGTGGGCTCCTCAGCAGGAAGGTGAGGTTAGCCTTCAGTGGCTTCTTCACTGGCCCAAGTATGGCTACTGAGGAGCCACGTAATGGCCACTACAGTGGTGGCTACTGTAAGTGCTAAAGAACAGCTGTGCCGACTTCAGCTACTGCTTGGCCATTGCTACAGACACTCCCTCTGAATAAGAGAGCCTTGGCTCTCAGATGCTCAGGTGCTATACATACCAGTGTAATGTGTGAAGCTATGGGTAATGAAAAAAATACAAGTTTTAGAAACTGGCTCAGAGCCACTGCTCTGCCACTAACCACCTATAGGAACTTGGGCTAACTCCTACCTTGTTTGAGCCTGTCTCCTCACTGGTTAAGTGGTGCTAATATACCTGCCTCTACATCTATAATGAGAATGAAATGGTAATGTTTATAAAGTAACTAAGAGAATGCCTGATGTATAGTATTTATTTAATGAGTATCAGAGTGCTTTCTCTAAGAGCAAAGAGATATCTATTTCTTAAAATCATATCAAACACACCATATTGAGTGTAATCTTTATGCAACATTTGTACTATACTAGTATCTGAAAATAAATGTAGTAATATTAAATAAACAAATCTGCCTAGAAACCTATCATAACTGCCTACTTTAAACATTTATATATTCAGTCATTCAGAAGCACATTGTTTTAGCTATCACCCAATTAAGAATAGCAAAATTCACAGCCGTATAAATGAAGTTATTCATGCTATTTTGTCATAGTCTACAAAAAATGAATTATGCATAGATTTATTAACAGAATGAAAACATGTCCAACTCTGTAACACTTTTTGCATAATTTAATTTTCTATTCCAGCTGCAATTTAAATATACAGTTCTCATTTATTTATTGCATTAACTGCTACCATAGTTGGGTTTTCTCTTTCCTTTCCTTCACTGACTCTTTCTTACAAAGCCATAAACTGCCTGGCAAAAGAAATAGATAATATGATTATTGTGGAGACTCAAAAACTATCAGCCAGCTCTTAGATTCCAGTCTATTTTCAACCAAGTCTATTCATCCCAAGATTTTAAGACTTTAAAAGCCTTGAATGAAAGGAGTAACCATTCCATCAAGACTATTGGAATGTTCAGAGATGCTGTGGAACTTTTAAGGACTAGAATGGAACCTCATGAATGAGAAACTTTGGATCTTGGCACCATAGCTTTTACAGCTCTCTGGGGAAAGTCTTAATCACAAAGGGGCATAACAAGGGAGAAGTGCGAGCCCCGCTCTGGAATGGAATGCCCAGGGATTTATACAATTTTAAAAACTCTCTTGTTGAATACTCAGGAAGTTCTGATTTACTGCATTTATGGTAGTGGCACTCCAAAGGGTGATTGTGGAGCATCAAGAAAGACTATTTGATCCAAGTAACTGCATACAGCGTGGCCTTAGTAACTGTTACTCATGCATTCAACTTCTGATTGAGGACTAATCACCAGGCACTTTGTAAGAACTAAAACTGAGAGCAAGAGAAGAACTGTTTTCTAATCAGAAGACTAGAAATAATTTAAATGCCTATCCTTTTTTAAAAAATGTTGATTCATCAAAATGTTACTATAAAACAAATATATAGAAATTATATACAAATATAGAAATTATACACTTACATATTTATGTATGTATATGTATATATACATGTATATGTATATATGTATGTGTGTATGTATATATATGTGTGTGTGTGTATATAGAGAGAGAGGGGGAGAGAGAGAAAGACAAAGGAATGAAGAGGGAGATATTCCTTTCTTTTTTGCAGACTTCCACGTGTTACTAATAACTTGGAAACACAGACAGTCATTGCTACTTGGGACCACAATGAATAAGGGGGTTTATCATCTCATATAGCTATGCCAGCTGATAAAACAATATTATTGAGTACCCCTTACATGCTAAACACCCACTAATACAAATATTTACCAAATTTATGTGCTAAATACCCATTAACAAAAATATTTAACAAACTTCTAGGCAGTTTTTATTATCTCACTTTACAGATGAAGGAATTTACTTTACCAAGATGACCCAGGTCTGATTTTTCTGCTGCACTGGAGCTTCCTGCCGCCATGGCACTAGAAAAAGCTATTACATAGTCTGGTGCCCTACAAAAAGCCATTGGGAAGCGACAAAGTACAGCTTTATCTTGAAGTGGAAGGAACCAAGAAGGAGCCAAATCTTGCAGCATGCGCTGTGCAAGAACTAGACCCCAGTGATACTTAAGCCATTCTGCTGCTGTCTGCCTCACACACATCTCAGCTTGTCTGAATGGAGCAGCTAACCTCTAGCTCAAACAAACAACTGAAAAGAGCCCTTCAATCAGCCCCTCACCCTACTGAAATTGGGATTTTTAAATAGTTCCTAAGACAATTTCCAAAAAGATCCAGTCAACTCAGGCTCCTTTCATTACTACAGACCCCATTTCTCCCCCCCATGACAACAGGCCACATGACATCAAGTGTAAAATAATTCTGTGAGGTTTTGCCCACTGGAGCAGCACTCACCAGGTGTGTCTGTGGGGCGCCCTGGAAGAGGGAGCTGAAGAGCAGGAACTAGACGTGACTCAGGCTGCTGTCTCTCTCTCTCACTTGCGTGTGTCCGGAGAGCGAGCGTGAGAAGCCCTTTCATGCACAATGGATTCAGTTTCTCCACCAGGTAAGTGGAGACTAAGGGGCATGTACAATTTTTCTTGCTTCACCGTGACTTTGTGGTATGTGGATAATCATGTGGGTTTTTCTTTTTACCAAAACCTTAACAATTATAATATTTGAATCGGTAAATTACTGATCACAAGATATATTGGCCACATGGTAATAAGAACAAAAGACAATGTGATTTAGTCTTTAGCTTTAACTTTCAAATAGTTCTCTGATTTTGCAGCTTTCCCACTAGAGGGTTCTTTGATTCTACATGAGGTGACCTCACAGCTAGAGAATGGGTTTATTTCACTGACGGGTTTATTTTTCAAACTATAAAATGTAAGACAATTCACTTCTATTTTCCTTTAGTTTTCAAGGTTAGAATCACAACTTAAAAATATTCAGAGTTTGCTCATTTCTGTGACTTTCCCAGCACTTGGAACTTGTATCGGCGTGGCTTCTAGTCTCATCCTTTACACAAGACATTCCCTGGCTGATCTGAAAGGGTCCGCCTGACACCAAGGACCATTCACTCCCCACATTTCCCACCACAAGGGTGGGTGCTGACCAATCGAGGTGCACCAGCAGGGTGACCCACGGTTCAATTCACTCATGCCCCCAACTCAATACCAAGCAGTGAATGATCCTAAAAACACATAACAATCTCCAGGGAACCAATGAATTAAAGGAAAGGAGTAAATTAACCCTCCTGATAAAAACTGAGTTTCTGATTTTGGAATTATGATCTAAGATGCTCTCTCTGTGCGGCTCACAGCCAGTTGTACACAAGTCCACTAAACAGGTTCTGAGGACCTACTGTGTGCCACATGGGTTACTGCTCTCTGCTCAGATATGACCTCCTAACAGAGGCCTGCCCTGCCCACCCAGACGATCTGGCACGCTGTCTCACTTTCACTTCCCACATCTTGACACATTTTCATCAGGCTTCTCACGAATACCAAATATATTGTGTATTTGTTTGTCTTTCTCCTCCTCCAGAATGTAAGCTCTGCATATTTAGTGTTTTCTCAGAAATCTATGCCTCCCCCTCCTGGCCAAACACTAAGACAGTGCCCAGAACATAATCCGTACTCAGTAAACAATTACGATGAATGAGTCGACCAATCACAACAGACCATTACAATACACTCAGAGAACTATCACGGGCACCCCTCTCCCCTGCTGCCTGCCACCTGTCCAAGTCCGCTGCATCACATGCCTGGCCTCCAACTGTCTCCCAGTCTCCTGCTCCTGTTCTTGCCCCAACTCACTCCTCTGTAGACACCACAGCCAGAATGGTCTTTTCAAAGCGTAAATCAAATGGTATCACTGCCTTCTTCTAACCCTCAAATGGTGTGCCCTCAAGGAATAAAACCCAAACTCCTCACATGGCCTCAGCATCGGGCACTGCCAGTTCGATTTCATTTCAGAACACCCTGGCCTTCTTCCCGCCCTCTTCACATGCGAAGCTCTTTACCAAGGGACATTGTGACTTTTTCCTCTGCCGTGGAGGCTCCTTTCTTCCCTGCCCCAATCTTATATGACTGGCTCCATCATGAAAATCTAGGTCTCACAAAATTTTATATCAGTAGGTGCCCTGCCACATTTTATTTTACACACTGTACTTACACCATCTGAATTTATATATGAGGTTGGTCCAGAAAAAGTCCAGCCATTGGTAATATAATAAGAACAGTTTGCACAACATCAATGTAACCTGGCAGCCAAGAAGCGAGTGGACTGGAATGCACGAATAATGACATGCACGTGCATAAATAATGACAATTTCAGTGTGCTAGTCAGTGGGGGTGGTAGACGCTGTTGAAAGAGCATGTGTATTGTGTGGTCATTGTATTCAAGATTACTGAGCAAGTAGAGCAATGAATCTGCATCAAATTTTGCATTAAGCTTGAATATTCCTTCATGGAAACTATGCAGATGATTCAGAAATCCAAAGCTACAGGCAAATGGTGATTGGCAGCTTCATCATGACTATGTGCCCACTCATATATCACATCTCCTGAAAAGTAGAGTTTTTTGGCAAAACATCAAATTATGCAGGTGACTCAGCTCCCCACAATCTAGATTTGGCATCCTGCAACTTCCAGCTTTTCACAAAACTAAAATCATCTTTGAAAGGGAAGAGATTTCAGACTGTCGATGAGATTCATGAAAATATGATGGGGCAGCTGATGGCGACTGAGAGAACTGTGTGAGGTCCCAAGGTGCCTACTTTGAAGGGGACTAAGGTGTCATTGTCCTATGTACAATGTTTCTTGTATCTTCTTCAATAAATATCTGTTTTTTATATTATATTGCTGGATACCTTCTGGACAGACCTTGTATTTGTTTGGAGGCTGACAGTCTGTCTACTCCATTCTTCCACCCTCTCCTCTGCCTGCCCCTCATAGGCACTTGAATGAAAGTTCTCTCAGGTTGGAAATCCTGTCTACATGTAAGGTGGGTAGAGTGGTTCCTGGCACTTAGTAAGTGCTCAATAAATACACCTTGAGTGGATGACTGAATGAGCAGATGAATGAATGAGCAGATGAATGGATGGGCAAATATTCAGCATGTTTTGGGAGCATTGTGGAAAGAGGAACAAACTGCTATCATTTTATTTTTCTAAGCCAGAGCATAGAAATATAATTCTGAGTCTTTGCTTTCTGTGAGATGGAAACAGTCTGTCAAAATAGTCTGTCACTTACTTGAAGAGGCCTTTCCTGACACTCCTATCTAAGTTAGTTCTCCCTGGATTGCCCCTTATGGCTCTGTACTATTCATTCATTTTCAGCACACTTAGTGATTATACATGAATTTGTGGAATTGTTTAACCTTTGTCTCCCCCACAGACCATAAACTAAGAGAAAGCAACATATCTCTTTGCTTATCACTATCTCCCTAGGGCTTAGTTCTAGGCCAGATACATGGAAAACTCGATCAATCATTATTAGATGATCCATTATTCAGAACACAGATTATAAATTGCATGTGAGTGCCTCCTGCACATAAATTTAAGCAGGAAATACATTATACATCTTTAATAAAAATATTTAGACATTCCAAATTACAGAATAGTAAGCACATAATTCTAAAGTTCATTAATTTTGAATACAAAGAGTCAAGTCACAATCTTGATTCTAACATCAACTTTCCCTTTGACCTAGGGTCACTTATCAACCTCAAATTCCTGTTTAATCATCACTCTTCCAGCTGCACTATGAGAACTAGTGGGCCCATGTTTGCCTGGTACACAGAAGAGATGGAACTCCAAAGTCCTGAAGAAGAACTAAAGGACAACATTTCCAAACCCTAAACTCATGGGTTATTTAGCTTTACAGTGACTAACATACTTTTCGGCTACTAGAATAGCCACTTTCTTCTTTCTCTATACTCGTGATATTAATTGCTTCATACCTGGGTCCTCTGTGGCCCTTGCTGCACTCTCTCTCTAAGCTCCATGTACCCATCCTCTCACTCAACAGCATGACAAGGCCTGCTCCCTGCCAGGCTGTGCTGAGTGCTAGAAAGGAACAGTACAATGACATGTGTCTGCTCTTGAGCTATGACCATTATGTGGATGAACTTGCAAATCTACGTCTAATGCCTGTATGGTGTCTAACATCTAATGTCTATATGTCGGGCCTCAAACTCCACCATTTATAATTGCTCTCTACTAGACTTCATGACGATTCCAATTTACACATTGGAAATTAAGCAGGTTATTATTTCCTCCGACTGTCTCCTTCTTGGCCATAGTCCTGCCATTTTCTCAGGTATCTAAGCTCAAAGACTTGCAGTTACCTTTGGCTCCAACCTCTCCAAAAACCCCGTGTATCCAATTACCAAGCAATTCTTTCACTTCTTCACGAGCAGGAATCACCTCCCACTTCCTCTACCATCTACCCAGTCTAGACTCTCAACACTTTCTACCAAGACTATGGCTTGTAATTGCCATATAATTGGTGTCTCATCTATGGCCTTTCACCATGTTAGGTCTTCCTCTGTATAAAAGATCTGACCTTCCTACAATGGGCGTGGATTCATATTCTAACCTCTCGGAAGCCCCCATGAGCTGCCCTGTACTCAAAAATAAAGACTAGACTCATCATTCGGACATTCCAAGTCATCTAAAACTGCCATCACCTACCATTTCTGGCACGTCAGCTTCCACACACCACGACGGACCTTCTGTTCCAGTCAGTCTGAGAAACTCACTGTTTCCTGGGTCAGAAGCGCAAGCTTCCTCCTCCAGGCCAGCCACCCGGACGCAGTCCCTCCCCTCCCACGGGCTCAACATGGGCCTTTGGATGTGCCACTCTTACTGTCTGTGCTTCCTTTTCTCATTTTTAAATGCAATAATAATAGTACCTGCCTCGTGGGGTGAGGATTAAGTGAATCACATCTGTAAAGACACTGTCATAGTGTTCACTAAATATCCACCAGCATTATTGCTTGTCCAAGTGCTCATCACCTTCCCTCACACCACCCCTTTTATCTGAAACCCATCTGCCCTCATTGACCTTTGCCTGAATCTTAAATGGTCCTCAAAGGCATAGTTCAAATTCAACTTCCTCCATGTACTTTGACCAATGTAGATTCATTCCTTCTCTCTCTCATGTTTACCAATCTCACCACAGATAAGCAGTTTAGCTTGTTAGTTACATTTTCAAGCCATCTTCCTTATTTCAATGAGATTATAAATTTCTGAAGCCAAGTGCTTTGTCACAAGTAGGATGAGTCTCAGAGAATGAGTGGGTAATAAGTCTATTGTCTGTTATGCTGAATTCAGTACTTCTTCCTCACACAAAATTATTTTTTTCCAGGACTTCCACATGATATAACCAAAAGGATGGAAGAGATATCTAAATCATCACTAAGAGACAGAATTTATCACTTATTTCACAAAACACCATTATAAGAACTTTGCTCAGTTAATTCAGAGAGGAAAAATGTCAAATCAATCCTGATAACTACTTATCTGGAATTTCAAAAAATCATTTCTCAAGCTGGGTAGAAAGAGAAGCCACAGCAAGAGAAGAACCTGTCACAGGAATATGGCAGCATGACATAAAACTCATCTCCATGAGGGAGTGCGGAGAGAAAACACAAAGTTAATAAATTACCTATAAAATACTTGTCGCAGTTCCCACATAAATGGGTATTTAATAGATGTTTGCTAAATTAACAAATAAATGAATGGATGATAAATAAAAAGATTATGAAGGGAAATAAATATTTGAAATGTTTTCATTCTTTTAAAGAACTGTATTTGAGAACTACCATTTTCTTACAAAAACTTCTTTTTGAGTGTTTGTCAGAGTCAGGAAACAGGACTGATGGATCACGAACGTGAACTGCACCAGAGCAGTCCTTCTAGTTTTAGGTATTATTGCCTGGATTTCAACTGTGACAGGAGCTGTATCAGGTCCATACACAGGGAACATATACCTGTGTTGAAATCTGTATTTTAAAAATGTTAGCTCTCTTTTAAGACCTGACTTGTAACATTAATGTTCTAGTGTTGTTTCACATAATTGCTTACATACCAGTTAAGTTTTATTTCTTCGAATTTAATTGAAACCCAAAGGACAATCTCTCTATATTGTATAGAAATAAAGAACATTAGCCCTGGCTGGCATAGCTCAGTGGATTGAGCGCGGGCCTGAGGACCAGAGTATCGAGGTTCGATTCCCAGTCAGGGCACATGCCTGGGTTGCAGGCCAGTTCCCAGCAGGGGACTCAGGAGAGGCAACCACACATTGATGTTTCTCTCCCACTCTTTCTCCTTCCCTTCCCCTCTCTCGAAAAATAAATAAAAATATTTTTTAAAAAAAGAAATAAAGAACATTAATGAGTAAACCATTTGATACTTACACTCCCTTTAGACTTTCTGGATCCTACAATAGGAGGCAGTGAAGAAGCTTTCTGACTGAGGAAACAAATTGCAATTTAGAAATATGAGTGTTATTTACAAATAATAAACAATGGAAGACAACTGCCATCCCAACCTGGACGTCCACTGTTTACTGCTGTTGGTGTTTCACCAAAAAGTACCGTGTACTACCCCGGCTTCACAAAGGCCACCGTAAAACTGCCAAACTATTCCAAAAGGCGATCAGCGTTTTCCTGTCTACTACTGTAACTGATAGTTACAATAAACTTCTAGTACCAGCTTACATTTTTCATAACATTTTAATTTAATTGCCTGTATTTTCTATATGAATTTCAAATCATTTCTCAAGCTGAGTAGTGATTTTGCCAAACTGAGTTTAAAACAATACATTTCTCTTTTTTAAATTGTCTACTCTGTCCACCTCTGATAGACGCTTAGACTGGTAACACACTCACATTTATATTCAGTGAGTTTCTAAACCAGTTATTCTTGTCAAAAAATAAAAAACTTTCTCTAGCTATGGGAATGTTGTTTCATAGATGGATGTCTATATTATTAGGAAAAGACCTATGCTAGAACCCAAATGAACCTCGCTGTAAGAGGATAGATAAATGTAAATCACACTAACTTGTCTGAGAAAGGCCACCAGGAGTTACGCTTTTCTCACTGCCATCAATTACACACGGGAGCCAACAGCAGACTCATCCAGTGTTGCTTAGCAGATTGCGAAAGGATCTGATTTCATGGATGGGTTAGGACGGTTAGCAATAAGTCTGCTGGTAAACAATTCTACAGTGCTGAAAAAGCATGTGCTTCAAACAACATCCCTGAAATTTCATCTCATCTAATACTTATCTAGGAATAGCTGGCCTCTCTACTAGGCTTCACAAATGGAAAATTAATGCACAACATATTGGTGACCTTCTGGTCCATCTCTACAAGTATTTCATAGGTTCCCTGCAAATTATTGTGCAATAGCTCTCCATCTCCAATCATGGTGAAAATAAAAAAAAGGATCAATGTATATCACTTATGTTTTTCAGCCTCACTGACAAAGATTATATACTGTAATGTATACCAGTGGTCAGCAAAAGACTCAATGCCACTTCAAGTGGTAACTAAAATAAGCAAAATGAATGAGGATGAAAACTTACCCATAAGACCTTCTCATTGTTGACTTGTCAAAAAGTAATTCACTGTAAGGCAATTTCTTAAACTTATCTCTGCCGACAGCCACATAAAACTGTCCATTCTCCAATTCTTCCCCACTTTCAACAAGTTTTCCTTCTAAAGTATAAAGTCTGCCAAAATATGAATGCCAACAATTAAAATTTTAACAAGCATTGAAAGAACTGCTTAAAATTACAAAGTAAATAAAAACATTCTGTTCTTAATTTGGCTCATCTGTTACTATCCTAATTATTGAGTTACAAATGCTTCAAAGTCATTAGATTCAGCTAAATGCCAATGTTATAATGCAGACACACTTGCTATCTAGCTGTACAGTGTTTCATCCCAATGAACTTGGCAATCTAACATGAATATCCCCTGTGGCTGCCACATTAAGATTTTAGAGGGAAAGATTTAACTTGTATAGAATGTGGTGCTTTAAATAAAGCTCAGCTTCTGTTGAAGTTTGTCCTATTTATATTTTGTAAGCACTTTAAAAATTTATTTTCTTATCTTATTTGCCAAATTGATATGCCTCTTAAAGCATTCTGTATATGAGCAGCTGTCAGCCAATATACTACATCCAAACACACAAAACTGGATCAGAAAATATGAGGTGAGAGGTTGGGAGGTGAAAGAACCTATTGCCAGTATTAATGATGCAGAACTGCATAACATTCATGCTTCTTTCTTTTTTTCCCCTTTACTTCCTTCATCTTCCCAGAATGGATTCCACAAGAACCAACCTTTACTGTAAAACTGTTGCTGTGAGCTACAATTAATACGTTACTTATTAAAAGAACAGAAACAATTTTCTAAACAATTTGAAGTGTCCAGAGAACTTTTTAAAGAACAGGAAAAAAACAGAGTTTTAGAAAAACTACACAGAAAGAGAATGCATATATTTGAAGGTTATAATCAAAAGTTAGCAACTGGCAGGATTTCAAGATAACCATTAAAAAATTCTCTCAGACTTATTACATATAAAGGTCAGTGACATTTGCAAATTTAAAAAATTTCTTTGATCTGTCTGCTTGTTTACTGATTATGTAAATGGCCATATCATATGGAGCCACAAAGTACAAAGGAAATAGTCACCAAATTCCTGGAGTGTGTTTGTGTTGAGTTAGTACAAAGATGCCAAACTTTCTCCTTTTACAACATTGTACTCCTGTCCCTGCGGGTCTGAACGTCGACACTTCACCCAGAGTTCTGGTTTTCCTGCCTAGGGTTTCTGAATAGTTTTGAAATTTTGGACCTGACTCCTCTGTTGCAGAGGTGGGGAGGCTGTCGTGTGAACAGTAGGATAGCAGCGCCCTTGGCTTTTACCCACTAGATGGGACTAGTGGCTGCCCCATTCCCAGCTTGACCAGAAATGACTCCAGACACTGCCCAATGTCCTCAAGGAGCAAAACTGTCCCTGGTTGAGAAGCACTGGTTTAGACCCAGACATTCTTATGTCATTTTCCTTCAAAATAGAAAGATCTGAATCAGTAATTAAATTCTGTAGCTAGAAACTAAAAGGCAGCATAGCTGTGGATCTGGAAACAGCTATGACTGAGCTTTGACTGGTTTCCCCTGCAGGTGCGAAAAGGGTACTGGTTGTCGCCATTTTTTCTGTGACTCTTTCCACCCGCTTTCTTCCTCTGCTGCAGAACACAAGAAATACAAATAGGAAGTTGAACCAATTTTTATGGGATGCTTTTAATATATAAATATATTGATGTGCAGAAGGATCCAACCATAAGATTTTTTAATGTTCTGTTAAAGAAATATGGGCATGTCCAAAGTGAACAGCAACCAAACCTCACTCATATCTGGCATTATATTAAGGATGAACTTTCTCTAAGTATTCAAGTGTTTGGGGGACACATTAACTATATTTTCTTTTCTGTATTTGTACTTGCATAAATTTTATTTCTTTGTATGAATTTGTTCATATCAATATATGCATGAAAAGTATATCTTGGTTGTGCACTTGTGTCCATTTATCTGTCTGTACTTTATATTATTTATTTAGTGAGTATATTATTTATTTATGTACATGTGAAAACACACAACTATGTATCTAAAACAAATCAATATATGACTACTGAGATCTGCCTTCATTCCTAACCCCAAAATACAATCCAAAGAATCAAAGGTTTAAATGAAATTTTAAAGTACAAGATGAAAACACAGAGGAATATTTTTATAATCATGGAGTGAGAAAGACCTAAACAAGTCATAAAACTTAATGATCATAAAATAAGATTGAAAATTCAACATATCTATATGCAAAAAGAAGCATAAAGAATATCAAAAATACAAATTGGAAATATATTTAAAACTCATATAAGAAAGGGTAAACTTCTCTAATATGTAAAGAATGCCTATAAATCAGGAAGACAAATATACAAGGTCAGGTCAGATAGTTCATGTGTAACAGGAGATAAACATGTGGCAGTTACTTAGAGGATAACTGAGTAATGAAGAGCACCGGCTGTGGCACCATACTGCCCACTAACTCGGTTGATCTAGTCCTGCTAGCCACTATGTACATAATCTCAGGCATGCAACTTTCCCTCTCTGCATCCCGTGTTTCATTAAAAGAGAATAATAACACTACCTACCTCATAGGATTGCTAAATTACATTTAAAAATATAAAGCACTTGGAATGACGAATTACATAAAAGAAATAGTCAAAAGATGTCATTATTGTATATAAGTAAATAAAAATCAACAATGAAATACTACTCAACATGAATACAGAGCCAAAATGTTCACTTTCCAGCACGGGTGACAGTATGAAACACTGGCCCGCTCATGCATTTTTAGTGAGAGTGCAGGTTAGTACAAACTCTTTGAAGGACCACAGGCAGCATCTATCGAAATTTAAAATGCATTTACCATTAGACACAACAATTCCACTCCTAGACTTTAGTCTGCTGATAAACTCTACTTATATACAAAAACATGAGCATGTAAAAATGGAATACTGGAAATTATCTAAGTTGCCATCAAGAGTAGAATGTTAAAGTAGATTAGGGCACACTCATAAAATGGTATATTTTCCAGTTATTTAAAAAAAATCAAGATAGAACTATTTGTGCTCATAGAAATCTCCAAGATTTGTTGTTACAGTAAACAAGTAATGTATATTTATATATTTACTCATGTGTGTATGTGTGTTCCTATGTGTGTTTAAAAAAATAAAAGATGCATGGGTTTCTACATGTATGAAATATATCTGGTTAATACAGAAAAATACTAGGAAGGAGGACTGAGAACCCTGAAGGGAGAAAAATAGTTTTTATTTATATTTTTGTCCTATTTGAAAGGTTTTTTACTACATGCAAAGTATTACTTTCAATTATATTTATACATTTAATATATATTTATATATACCTAATTATATTTAAAATCCAAATGGCTATGAGACTATATATATTAATATATAGGAATATGTATATACAATAAACCAAAAGACATAATGTGTAATCATTTGAGAATTTATTTTTATCACATGTGTCTATAGATAGATATACATAGACATGAAAACAGGCATAAAACCTTGAGAGCAGGAGTGTATTCTACCTATGGAGTGTGTTAGAGAGATTGGGGTGGAGATAGGATTCAAGGCTTGCCAGAAAATTCTCGGTTAGCTTTCAAGTATTTGTATATTCCACATTATATATAATATATATTCTTAACATGTTCTAGACTTGTATATATTATTTGTAACCCTCCCACCTATAAAAAAATAAGTCAGCCTCCATCAAGGGATAATTTCATGGGCTTCACAATTAAAAAGCCCTGATTTTAATCTTCACTTAAAATTCAGAAATTGCAAAAAAATGCTTTTGATTTCTCAAGTTTAAAAAACTCCACTTAATTATCCTTTCTAACCTGCCTCTTCCTTAAATTCACTAACAGCTCCTTATGTCTGATGCCAGGCAAATATTTTGGACCATAAAAGAATCATAAATATCTCCTAAATAAAGGGACAGTTAATTAAGAGCCAAAAGCTGGCTCACTGAAAAAAGTTCTCAGCAAAGAGAATGCTACCTGTTTGTTCAGAAGAATAAAACTAGTTAATATTTGTTGACATGCCGCTATGTGCCAAGAACTGTTTTAAACTCCTTATGTGCATTATCTTCTTCCTTTAAAGCAACCCTGTAAGGTAAGCACTATTATATAAAGAAACTGAGGCATACAGAGCCTCAGGTGAGACAAAATTCAAGTTTGGGACCAGCAGCTTGAGAGCCTCCTGAAAATATTGTCAACAGTTCTGAAAACCATCCACTCACAAGATTATTTTGACTTACCTGTGAACAGCCCCACTCCTCAGAGTTATTTTCTCTGTGACCATCTGTAGGACATGATCCCACTGATTCAAGGCTTTTCTAGGGATGAGGAGGCGACAAGCTGGGCTTATGAGGTCTCCATTTGCTATGAGGCTGGGCAAAAAGCAAAGCCAGTGAGCCACACTATTTGAAACAATAATGCCGTTAAAGCTACAATGAAAACCCCAAACCAAAAGAAAACCACCAGCCAATTTCAATTTGACCTGCAAAGGCTTTGAACTTACAAGATAGTACAGGGTTCCTGAAGAGGTTTTCTGAATCGAGCTGACACATTTATCCTGCTGTGGATTACTGGTTTCACCTTTAAAAGCAAAGAAATACAAATCACTTAGCTTGTGTTAGTAGCTTTTTCTATTGAAGAAACACTACAGGTTTCCAGGGAACTGGCTGAGACCTGCTGTGCCTATGGTAAAACCTTGCTTTTTCCCATTTATATAAACACTCTGGGCTCGCCCCCTATCCGTACTGTGTGGCCTTCACGAAGCTCTCAAGAAAAATCTCCTTCTCCTGGGAACACTGCTCATGGTCTATGCTAACACAGAAATTGTTGGGCTGCAATGAGAGTTTCAAGGAAACTTTTTAAAACAATGCTTTCTGTAAAACAAAAATGAAATAATAATCCTATAAAATATAGAACTCTGAAAGTTCCTCCTCCAGCCACACACCCTATCTTCCCACCTCTCCCCATTAACCTTCTCTCTGAATCTAGACCCCACACATTCCTGACCTCACCCTAGTCTCTTTAGACTGACTCCATCACCTTTCCTTGACTTTTCTTCTTCCACTATCTATCAGTGCCCTTGAACCAGCACCCTCAATTCCTGAACTCCTGGTACCTGGGTGGGTCTAGTGATCTTTCCATCTTCCTTGCTTCTGGAGTACAGGCTACTGTTAGCAAGAATCACATCACCCCATGAGGTGCCCTCACCTGTGACAGAGCTTCTGTATCACCCAGACTCCTCCTCCTCCCAAGTCAATTACTTTTTACATTTCCTAAAGTGGATAACCCCAATCTCCTCTCATCTTAAACCGTACAGTCCCACTCCAGACACATTCACTCTCAGCAGACTGTTTCCTTCCAAACCTCAAGCATAGAGGCTAACAGTTATGCAACCCTTCAACCTCCATAGCCTGCCCATCCCACTCATCTACACCTTCACTGCTTTTCGCCTTTTCTGCCTGTCCCGGAAGAAGGATATGTATCCCTTTACAAAGTTAACTCCCACCTGGATTTTTCTATTTTCCCCCTGATGCTTCTATTTTCCCATAAATTATCTGGGCCCCTCCACCCCATCTGGTGTCCTTGCCCCTTTGGCCCTATCAAGCACTGTCCCATCCCTATCTGTCCTCCTCGTCCTTCATATTCCCACTTTCTCCTGCCCCTTCCTCTCTTCCATCCCCTGCTATCCCATCTCCATCTCCACCACTCAAAGATAATGCCCAAATCTTAAGCATGGCCTGTAAGAGCCCCCATGATGAACCACTGCTTACTCAGTTCCCTACCTCCCACCAGTGTAGACCCCAAGTCATGCACTTCAGTCAAACTAGCCTACTCCCCTCCATTCCCAAAACACACCACACGGCCACCACCACACCTTACTTAGTTCATCTTGCTCCTGTGCCTACAGTGCCCTCCTTTCTCTATTTGCTGGGTCCAGCTCAGTTACCCCTTGTCTTTATTTATTCTTCATTAACTTTCTGTCTCACTGCTACTGCTACTACAGTACAGATGACAGCGCTTTTTCTTCTAGGGCTTTTCCTCCCTGATTTGAAAAGAAAAGCTATAAGTATAGGGAACTGATTAATAAAATAGCTAACATTTATTACACTATATTTAAAGGAAAGCACATTAATAAGTAATTTGCAAGCAGTATATGTCATTTAATCATCAAAGCCATGCCCGGTAGCACTACTGCCCCATTTTACAAATGAAGAAAGTAGAGCATAATTAATTCATCTAAAATTACACATAATAAGGGACCAAGTTTAGTGTACCCATATCTATGAACCTCTATTTGTTATACACTTTACTAGTTATTTTAGAGATCAAATATTAAGCCTAAATAAGTTTTAGTACTCTTTGTCAAAATATGCCATTTTGAGAGTACTAAAAAGCATGAATCTTTCTCTTGCTGGTGACTAAAAACACCCCTTGCAACATCTGCTAGATGTACAATAAATGTTTAATAAAATTTAATTAAAAGATGCTCTAATTAATGGCACATGGACCAATGGATCAAAATAGAAAGCACAGAAACAAACCCACACAGACAAGTACATGGTCAATTAATTTACAAGAAAGGAGTCAATGTATGTAGAGAGGGGAAAGGACAGTCTTTTCAAGCAAACTAAATAGCCACACGCAAAAGAATGAAACTGAGCCCCTATATTACACCATACACAAAAAATCAACTCAAAATGGATTAAAAATTAAATGTAAGACCCAAACCCAAATCTCCTAAAAGAAAACATAGGGGGGTAAGCTCCTTGACAAGAGATAAGTGTTTGTGAGGATGCAGAGAAAAGTAAATCCTCATACAGTATTGGTGGAAATGCAAATTGGTTTAGCCACTATGGAAAACATTATGAAGGTTCCTCAAAAATTTGAAAAAAGAACTACCAAATAATCCAGAAATCCCACGTCTGGGTATTTATTCAAAGGAAATGAAAACAATATTTGAAGAGGTATCTGGAGCCCCATGTTCACTGCAGCATTATTCACAACAGCCAAGACATAGAAACCACTTAAGAGTCTATTGATGAATAAATGGATAACAAAATGTGAGATCTCTCCCTGCTCCTTCCTTCCTCCCTCCCTCCCTCCCTCCATTCCTCCTTCCCTCTCTCAAATATTATCTAGCCACAAATAAAAAGGAAATCCTGCCACTTGTGACAGCATAAATGAATCTTGAGGACATTATGCTAAATGCAATAAGCCATGAAGGACAAATACTGCACAATATCACTTATTGGGTTAGCAAAAAAGTCTGTGTGGTTTTTTTCGTAAAGTTAAAGACATGTATTTCATTTTCACCAATAACTTTATTGATTTGGGTATTTTAACTATATGTCGGCTATCTCTCATAGGGTGTAACAATGATTGGTCTCAATTAATGTTTCCATTTGATCACTATCAACTTCAACTGGTCTACCTGACTGTGGAACATCATCCAGGGAGAAATCTCCAGCACAAAACTTCACAAACCACTTTTGACATGTTCAGTCAGTCACAACACCTTCTCCACATGCTACACAAATCTTTATGATTTTTGCATTTCAGTTGAGTTTTTGAAATAATAAAAGCATAATATGCTGAAAATGTTCCATACTTCCTTCCATCTTCAATATAAAAATGACTACACAAAAATTCATCAATTTTGATAAGTTTCTTTTAAATGCATGCTGATATGACAGCTGTCACAAAACAATCTAACGAAATTGTTTTGAATGAAGTTAAAGACAACCAAGTATTACTAAAGCCATCCTACGGAAAAAAACAAATAAACTTTTTTGGTCAACCCAATATATGTAATCTTTTTTCTTTCAAAAGTCAAAATCATAGAAATAGAGAGTAGAAAAGCAACTGCCTGGGGTGAGGCAGGTAGGAAAAATGGGGAGAGTAAAAGAATACAAATGATTGGGCATAAGATGAATGAAGTGTGAGGATTCAATGTACAACACAGAAGAAAAATACTCCAATAACGAATTTAACATTTTTAATTTACTCATAATAATTTTACATTTTAAACCCAGACATTCTTGGACCTAAACTAACATTTACAGTGATGCTGACTTTTAAAAAAATTTTACTAGGTAATGCAGGCATCTAAAGAAAATTAAAATAGTAAAACGGGGCCTAAGTGAGAAGGGAGTGTCCTTCCTACTCCCGCTTCCCACCACAGACTTGCAACATTCCTTCAAAGACAGGCTACACATACGCATGAGCATTATCTTATGTAGGTACAATTTTAAAACACAGATGATATCCTGCTATACCCCTTCTTCCACACCTTTCTTTTTTCATTTAAAAATGTATAATGGAGACTGTTCCATATAAGTACTTAGGTAAGGGTTGCTTTATTCTTTCTAAAAGCTGTGTATATCCCACTCTATGATTACACCATAGTTTATTTAACCTGCCCCATAATGATGGTTTCTAACTTTTGCTATTGCAAATAATGTCATGATGTGTTTCCTTGAAAATACTTACTTGCACAAACATGTAAGTATATCTATATAATAAATTATTAAAATTGACAACTTGCTGAATAAAGGATAAGTGATTTTTTTGTTAAGTGAAATTTCTTGCCAGCTTACTCCTATCTTGAGAGTTCCTTGATTTATTTAATTCATACTATAGCATAAGAGAAATTGATTTACAAGGAATGCTGTTATGAGGCCAGGCATGTACAATGCCTTTAGGTGACTACAAATCCCTTTCCCATCAAATTGCTCACTTGTAAGGCTCAGCATGCTTAGCTGCAAATAAGTCTTTACCTGTGTGAAGAACAGGCCTTTCTAACTCTCGGCCTGTGCTAACAGTATCTTCCTTTCGAAATCCTCCACACTTTTTCAGTATCACTGTACTGCCTCCCTGATCACTTGATGATCACATCCCTGCCACATCCCTGGTTCTCTGCGGCCCTTCCCTGCCTTATTTTTTTTTCCATAACACCATCATCTGACATGTTGTATATTTTATTTATTTGATTTTCATTTTCTTGTGCCTTATGTTACTTTTTACTTACTCTCAATATTAACTAGCAATATACTTTATAATAACATACTTTATACTCAGTTGTTAATTTTTCAAGTCTCACCTATCAACCTTGATTTTAATACCTTGTTGGATTGTTAAAGTCAAGATAAAGATGAATAAGTTATATAAATAAATAACTTTAAAACTTGTGTTGAGTTGGCTAAAATATGCTACTTTTCAACACAGCATATATATTTATAACATACAGAATTTCATAAATACACATGAGTTATAATTGTGTAACTTTATTCTGGGTCTAAAAGTTATTGCTTGAATTAAAGCAAACCATCTGCTTGAAGCTGTTGTCTTCATTCAGCATAACAAAAGTATTGCCCAAATGTTCTTGATCTACCAGATGAATTATCACATTAATCTTTACTATATATTACTTTGAGTCATTATAGTTGAAATAACTGAATTAAGAATAAGAAATGATCCAAGTAATACATCTGAATTGAAAAAATATGCAAGATCACTGTATAAAACAACTGAAACCTTTTGGAAAATAATACCATTTTTCCTTTAAAATGCATTTTCTACTT